AGACAGCTGTTATTGAAGTGCCAAAACAGCACTTAGCTGGGCATTTAGCATGAGACTATTGCAGAAAGATACTTGTTTTACAGCCTGAGAAAACATGTATCTAGACAGCCATACTCCTTATTAAATAGCTGAAAATCCAGCCTTCCTGGTTTAAAAAAAAAATCAGCACCTGGTCAGTGGGCTTCTGATATCTCAGTCATAAAAGAGTCCTAGAGCATAACAGAGCTGGGAGGGACCTTGGAGATGATCTTATTCTGTCCTCGCATTTTACAGATGAAGAAACAAAAGCACACAAAGGCATGTGACTTCTCCACGGTCATCATCAGGGAGTTAGTGTCAGCACCATGACCTGGGTCTCTTTACTTATATTCCAGGGATGTTTTCAGGACAGCTCAGTGGCACAGTGCAGGAAGTCAGAAAGACCTGACTTCCTTAGCTGTGTGACCCTGGACAAGTCACTTAACTGCTGTCTGCCTCAGTTCCCTCAACTGTAAAGTGGGAATAATAATAGCACCAACCTCCCAGGGTTGTTATGAGGATCAAATGAGATATTTGTAAAGTACTCAGCATATTACCTGGCACATTGTAGGAACTTAATAAATGCTTATTCTCTTCCCTTCATCATACTGACTTCCTAGAAACATGGTCGTGGTACTCAAAAAATGTCAGTTGTTCCCCATTGTCTATAGCATAAAATGTATACTTCTTAGCCTGACATTTAAGACCTCTGCAATCTGAGTCCCACTAACCTCTCTAGCCTTATTTTATACTATTCCCTTTCATGAAATCTGTATTCTAGCTAAACTAGACTGTTAGCTGTTGGCTAAACTCTTTATATGCTTGTCTCATGTCCCCATGAATTTGCACAAGCCTTTCCCCTTTCCAAGAACACATTTCTTTCCCATCTCTGCCTCTTTAAGTCCCAACTCAGGCACTGTCTACTCCATGAAGTCTTCCGTAATCCCCCCACCCTCAGTGTGATTGTTTTGTCCCTTAATGTCAAATATCTGTGGTTTTGGGGTCATGAGAACTTTCCATCAATGCTGATTGCAACCTATCTGTAACTTAGTAGATAAGGCTTAGGTAGTTGCTTGAGGCTCAGAAGTTAAGTGACTTGCCTGTGGTCACACAACTATTATGTGTCAGAGTAAGACTTGCCAACTCCATGTTCAGCACTCTGTTCATTATACTATACTGCCTCTCAGTTTTCTTTATACTATAGTTATTTTTGTGTGTATTATGCCACTCTGCCCCCCTACCCCGGGAGACTATATGTTTCCTGAGGGCAGGGACCATTTCATTTGTGTCTTTGTATCCCATGCCCTGTCTAGTGTCTTGCATGTAGTAGATGCTTGATAAATGTTTTGAATTGGGCTAAATTGGATAGAGAAATGAAGAAAGGACAAGAAGGATGTAAATCTTTTGGGGCTAAGACAGAAAACTTTCTCGTCTATCAAAGTTAACTTCATCAGTTGCTTCTGTTCTGCCCATTCTTGCATATCACAACATTTTGCAACATTTGGGCATGATGTTTGGTCCATTAGAGACCCTTCATATAGCTTAACTTGTCTTTTGCCCTCTGCCCTGTACTCTCATCTCTGTGCACTTTTGTATGGCTTTGTTTTTTTCTTCTAAAGAAAAATCCTTGGGCCACCAACAGATTTGTTTCCTGATCTGAACCAGAGTGTATAGCTTGAAGACAACTTCTCACCTTTCCATCACAGTAGGAATCTAAAGAATGCAAGTTGATGGCCCTGGCTACATTCCAGACATTCAAACTGTGTTTGCACTTGTGAGAAGGCAGGGGAGGAAGCCTGATCACAGGATCCTCCAAGATTAATGTCTCCTTCACCAGCAGGATTGGCTGCTACTAGACTGGCACTAGACTACTGTACCTTGGATGGGGAATCTGCATAACTCAGAATGTTTCAGAAAAATACCTCCTCTTTTCATGTCTCTTCTTTCACTGATCTGAAATCATACCATCCATCATTGTGATGAGGATTTGTACCCAGCAATTAGGGAAGGGATGCTGGGATGTGGCTTTACTGAAATATAGCCTGTAGAGGAGCACGTAGCTGTTCTTGGTTGACTGAGGTCAATGCCACCAAAGTCCAAGGCTGACAGTGTCTGTATTACACTCACTGCAACTTTATAGGGCAACACTTTGTGGAACATTTTTGCACTTCATATCCTGTCCCAAATATTACTCCTTGAGAAATGCCCCAAGCAGTTCTTTGTAAACCCCCTCAGAAAACTACTCTCAACCAAACTGTCCAACTCTAAGCCACATTCCTGTCCTGAAGTCAACATAAAAAACATACACACAACTTGGAAACATTTTAGACAGAACTGAAGAAAACCATCCAAAGCTATGAATAGCTGAGAGGTAGTTTTAAGTAAGAAAGAACTGAGCCCCATGATGTAGCGAGTTTAAAAGTTTCTACAATAAAGAGGATAATGTAAAATGGATATTCACAGAAAAGGGTGATAATTGGTGCCATAGAGCCCTCTTAAACATAAAAATGACAAAAATTATGAAGAAGGGATTCAAAAGTCAGCAGTAGAGAAGATTTAAAATGTTGGAAAACTGGACTGATAGGGACAAGTTTTAAAAAGTTGGATTACCTGGTAAGAAGAGAAACCTGAGAGATAATTCAGTACCAATCTAATTACTTGTATATCTGTTCCATTCTCAGTTACCCCTCTACCAGGAAGGACAGTTTTGGTCACCATCCTTCAGGACAAGAATGGACCTGAAATTGAGTTTAGGAAAGGGCAGCCACAATGATCCTGTTCTCCTGTCACTTCTCTCCTCAAGACCCTACCAGAGATTATTATCCATTGTATCAAATTCTTCAGTAGGCTGTAAAGCCTTCCCCAAACTACCTTTCCCCCTCTTCTCCCTCCTCTCCCCTGCCAACATTCTTCTAACCTTTAGTTCTCTTAATTCCCCCTTTGGATTCTCTTCGTCCTTCCTGCCACCCTTGTGCTTTCTGGGTATTCCATCCCACCTAGGATCGTCAGAAAATCAGTTTGGAGCTAGAAGAAGCCTTGAGGGTCACCCAGTCCAGACCCTTCATTTTATAGAAGAGAAAGATAAGGCACAGAAAAGCTGTATCCTATTCACGGTCACACATATAATAAGTAGAGGAACTCTGATTCTAACCCAGTCCTCCGACATAAACTTAAGGCTCTTTCTACTGCAGCAAATCATTGCAAAATACTTTTGAACTTGTTTACAACTCCATGCTTTCTCTCTCCCATCTGTGTGGAATATCATATGCTCTATCCTGAACTTAGAATGCTCTTTCTCTTCTTTTCTGTAAATCTACACCCTTTCCCTCCTTAGAAACCTGTTTAAAGTATACCTCTTCTTCACATCCTTCCATGGTTAGCCCCACTCAGTTCTGGTCACTTTGCTCCTCAATTTCCCTTGGCACTGATGAGTTCAGAGTTTGCACCATGGTCGTTTGCCCCATGGTCGTTTGCCCTTGTTTCAATTTGGCAGGTTTTCAACTTTTTCCATATGTGTCTATTCAACTGTAAGGCACATAGGAGCCAGAATCACATTCTAGATTTCCCTGCAACACCTGTTAAAATTGTAGAGTATCAGAAATACTCTTGGAAGATCCTACATAGATCACCTCATTCATCCCTCTCATTTCACATATGAGGGAACCAAGACCCAGAAAAGTGGCAGGATTTACCTAAGGGCACACTGTATTTTGTTCAGAGTAGATTCTTGTGTTTTGAGTAACTGACTGAAAAACAAAGGATTGATTCTGCTTTTTCCAGCTCCATGCAGGCAGGTCCCTCCTACAACTTATATGGTCTCATTACTTCTTCATGTGGTAATATGCATTCATATTTTTCCCCTTGGCTGTGAAGAAGGATAAGGAGAAGAAAGATAGCTGGAGAGAGAGAGAAATGGAGAGAAAGGGATGGAGAAATGGAAAGATATAGAAAGAGAAATGAAGAGAGAATTGGGGGGAGAGAGAGAGAGATGGCGGGAAGAATGGGAATGACTAGTCTGAGGGAATGCCACAGGATCTCATGGCCAGTGAAGATCAAGGCAGTGGGAAAGTTAAAGAAAGGAAGACAAAGGAGATCTTGTTTTATGACACATGTGAGAGGAGACTGACAAGGGTTTCAGTTCCCTGGTACTCTCAGGAAAGTCAAAAAGAAGCACATAAAGGATATCAGTGGAAACTAGCCCATGTATATCAGTACCAACCCCATGTACTATCTAATCCCAGTTTCGGCCTCAGTACCTCCTCAGTCAGCCTGGTTTTCTTTAGTGAAAGTACATGAATGCCTTTCACAAAACATTTGCTGTATTTATGGATCGTGGCAGTGACTTGTCCAGAGCCCCACAGAACTTTGCGGAAATAGTCAAGATGTGTGGTCATCAATGGGGCTCTTCTTGCTGTGGACCTTGCTAGGTTGTAATCATACTGTATATTGTTCTTGTGCACTTCCAATGGGAGCACAATGCAAAATAGGTATTAGGAGCCTGGCGACTCTGAGCCTTCGTTCCAATTTGTGAGGCAGTCTGACATTATGGTGCTTAATAGGGAGCCTCACCCAGTGCCAAAGTCACTTCAGTTTCCATATGGGACTAACAGTACACCTTTGACGTCCCGTTTTGTACCTTGCCTCTTTTTTTTTTTTTAGGCAGTTGGGGTTAAGTGACTTGCCCAGGGTTACACAGCTAGTAAGTGTCAAGTGTTTGGTGTGAGGCTGGATTTGAACTAGGGTCCTCCTGACTTCAGGTCCAGTGCTCTATCCACTGCGCCACCTAGCTGCCCCATACTTTCCTCTTTCGCTAGGTACAGATTGGAAAGGTCTGCTTTCAGTGTTGTCTTATATATCAATGAAGATAATTTCATATGGGTTCCTTCTTTATGAGCTTCCCATACCCTTTTAAAAAATTGCCAGGCTTGTTAAACTTCAGCTTATTTTATGCAAGAATGTCTTCTAATCCTCTCCTGTTTCAGAACATGGTAGGGGAGAATGTGTGGCTGCAGGAACAATTGATCCAGCTGCTGATCAGTTACTGTGATGCTGCCACAGCTGCCCAGTGGGCCCTGTCCTACCACCTTCCCAGTGAATCTCTGCCTGCCAAAGTAGCTGAGAAGATGCATGAACTCCAGCACCAGGAGAGGTGAGATTCATAGCACGCTTTGCCTCTGTGTCTTGGGGCAAGAACAAGGCTGTCCTGAGGGTAAATATTAGGCCTTGAGTCCCCAGAAGCTCACCGCTTCACTTATACCTCTGTCAAGTTCAGTCTTTTTAGATCACTGAGGCACCTATTTCCAGAATAAGCTTTGGCTTCTTTGGATAGATATAATATCTTACTTTACTTGATGGAGGATTCTCCCAGGGTATCAGGAATTTACCTAGGCTCTCTTAGCTCACTGGGTGCCACTATTGCTGTCTCTGTGCACCAAAGTGTGTTTTGAAAAAAGTGAAGGCAGATTTTAAATGGAATGGCTTAGGCTGGCCCCTAAGATTAGCAATGACCTTGTTCTTGTAACTAAGGAGATTTAATATGTTCTGCCTTTCCATTTGATTCCCATTTTGCTTTTTCTTCTCAGTAACTTGTGTTTTGGGTGATTAAAACTAGAGAAAAAAAGAAACTAAAATGTCTAACTGTTTAGCAACATGGTGTCTGGGCAATAGGAGAGTTTTATGGGATGCAGCCTACAGAGGAGGGAAGCTAGGAGAATATTTTGGAAATATTCAAGTGGCTGTGGGAACCAGGATAGCTGATTCAGGTGAGAAAAGTTATATTAGCAAGTAGAAGAACTGTACATGCAGGGGTTAGGTGGGGTGAGACAGGAAACTGAAGAGGAGTGGATCCGAGTTGGCCAATGAACTTGATAGGAAACGGGGTAAAGATAGGCAGTCAGGAGGAGAAGAAGGAACTTGGATGGATAGGCCCATACGTCAAGAGTAATGCTATAAAAAATGACGAAGAAGATGGTTTTAGAAAAACCTAGGAAGACTTACATGAACTGATACAGAATGAAGTGAGCAGAACCAAGAGAACATTGTACATAGTAACAATAATATTGTACCGATGATCAACTATGAAAGACTTAGCTACTATGATCAATACAGTGATCTAAGACAATTCCAAAGGACACATAATGAAAAATGCTATCTACTTCCAGAGAGAGAACTGATGAACTCTGAGTGCAGATTGAAGTATATTTTTTACTTTCTTAATTTTTCTTGCTTTTTTTCTTGTTAACATGGCAAATATTGCAATATAGTTTTAATGATTTCACATATATAATTAATATATTGCTTGCCTTCTCAGTGAGTGGGGGAGGGATTGGAAAGAGGGAGCTCAAAAATTTTTTTAAAATGAATGTTAAAAATAAATGATAAATTTATTTTTAAAATTAAAATTTTTAAAATTGGGAAGTATTTGACAAAATAAATTAAAACATAATGCAACCAAAAAAAGAGTAGTGAAACTGGTTTTTCAATATGCATGAGAAAATTCACATGCTTAATGTCATAATTTTAAATGTTGCAAAACTAGAAGGGCTTACTCAAATAAATCCTGCCTCCAAAATACTAATAACTGGTCATCCAACTTCTACCTTTTGTTTTTTTTTTTCTGTTGTTTTTTTTGTGTTTTTTTTTTGGTTTTTTTGAGGCAATTGAGGTTAAGTGACTTGCCCAGGGTCACACAGCTAGTAAGTGTCAAGTGTTTGGTCTGAGGCCAGATTTTAATTCAGGTCCTCCTGACTTCAGGACCGGTGCTCTATCCACTACGCCACCTAGCTGCTCCCCCAACTTCTACTTTTGAATAAGCTCTGAGCTATAGCTCTGAATTCAAAAGTGATCTCTAGCCATGCTGAAACTTGAAGATTGCTGCTAACCAGACCTGATGGCCAGATACTCTTGAAGGATACACTAAATTCAAGGGCTCCCCTATTAAAGAGAAGGCATTATACCAGACTTGGCCAATGGAGCCTGGGCTCCTTTAATGAACAGAGGTTGGATTCATAGTCATGTAGAAATTTGGGGGCTCTTCAGGCTCCCAGTACTCACAGTTTAAAAACAAGAAACATGTCAACTCAAAGCCTCACTGGTTAAATGCAGCGTTTCCAGGTAGGGTCACATCTAAAATGCAGTAGAGTGGCCCTCTGGATCACTGTGCTACTGGCTCTGATCTCTTCCTTAGGGTCAGGGGCCTCCTACTTGATGAGGCCTCCCCTCAGTGTTTAGGGATTAAGAGTTACCTCCTTGACCTCTAAAATAATGATGACTCACATTTGCATTGTGCTTAAGAGTTTACCAAGTGTTTTTTTTTGCACAGTAGCCCTGAGAGGTAAGAATTGGGTAGTGCAAGCATTATTATTCCCATTTTACAGAGAGTGCAAGTGACTTGCCCAAAATCTCCCAGCTTGAAAGAGGAGCAGCCGAGACTTCAATCTAGGTCATCCAACTCCATAAGTCCAGTGCTCCTCCCATGACAGCTGTCAGTTAAGGGGTCATTCCTCATGCAGTCAGAAGCTGAGTAGACCTCAGGGAGCAGGAGATGTGAAATTTTACATCTAAATGAAACATTTTACCCTAATGTTAATTTAGGCAACCCATGTGCCATCTTATGGTGCTCTCCCTGGACTCTGTGTTCTAAAGATTGGCAATATATTTGAAAAAGCACAGCTGGTGGGAGCAGCTAGGTGGCGCAGTGGATAGAGCACTGGCCCTGGATTCAGGAGGACCTGAGTTCAAATTTGGCCTCAGACACAACACTTACTAGCCGTGTGACCCTGGGCAAGTCACTTTAACCCCATTGCCTAACCCCCCCCCCAAAAAAAGAAAGAAAAGGAAAAAGCACAGCTGGTAAATTCTTTTTTTTGGAGAACTAACATTCTGTTGCTTTACTAGCCACTCTAGCTCCCGCAGGCATATTTTGTGACTTGCCAATCTTCTGCTTTCCATGCAGGCCCCATTATCTGATCTGACTCTTCCTGCTGCTGTCATTCATCTCCCAGTCACCTCATCCTCATATGACTGGGTCAGGGTCTGTAACTCCTCATTAGCTTAGTTCCATTCTCCATGGTCTTATCTGTCATGAAGACTTTGTCAGCCTTCATATGACTGAATGTAGAATTATATGGATGGCCAGCCCACTGGCTAGAGAAGCCATTGAACCATACTGTCCCTTTTAACCTTAAATTGTCTTTGCTGACATTTAGTAAAAAAAAAAGCAGGTTAGGAGAGAGCTGCAAAAAGAGCGTGGAAGTGTGAGTGAACGAGATGATTCCCCATCTCTAAACCCATAGTTGCCATAGGTAATTATGCCCACCAAAGGAAAGTGTTGCTCAGTTCACTATTCTATTTTCTTTATGTTACAGGGTGGAAGTGACTAAGGAAAGAACCTATGATTCCAAAATGGACAAAAAGAATGATCATTATTATCAGTTGCCCATAGCCAGGGAAAATATTCACTTCCTGCAGACCTGGGAGGAAGTGGACAAGTGCAGGGAGGTGGTACTTCAGGTAAGCCATTCTTCAGGCCACAGCAGAGCCAAAGTTGGCACTTTAGTAGCATAGGAGCCAAGATAGAAGTGCGTGCTTAAATCTTGTATTTTTACTATCATTTCTCTCCTGCTTGAATGCTGAGTTTCAGGAAGGGATGGAAACTGATGAATACATATACTCTTGAACCCATAGAAAGGCCCTTACTAAGGCAGGCAAAACTTGGCAGGGGCTTCAGTGAGCTGTTTCCTGGGTGAGACAGACCCAGGTTGGCTCTATCGTGAATGAATCCCTTACTGTATTTGTCTATGAGACACTTACCATGCAGGATTCCTGGAAAAGGAGTGGCATTATTCTTCAACCAAAATTTAATATGACACTTTTTCAAGCTATAAAGAAAATCTCTGTATACAGAAATTAATTCTCACCTACAGCTGCACTTTGCTTTTTGCTAGCTTTACAGTGGATATTTCCAATTGCAAATGCCTTAGGTTAACTTTCCCAAAATTCTTTATGGAATCTGGGTGCCATGAAACAGAAAGAATCTGGGAGCAGACACTCTGCTTCCAGACAGGGTAGCTTAACTTATTTTCATGGGGATCCATCTTTCACTTTGGTAGTATGGTGAGGACTAAAAGCCCCTTCTCTGGTGTTTTTAAATGCATAAATCAAAACAAATAGGGTTACAAAGGAAACCAATTATATTGAAATGCAGTTATCAAAATATTAAAAAATAAGAGTTCACAGATCCCATGTTAAGAGCCTCTGACCTCAGGGATGCAGGATTGGTACAACGATGCTAACAGAGAATAGCTGGGGGCAAAAAACAAAAACAGAAACTTCTGTGGATCCGACTTTTTAGGTTTTTGAATACAAATTTGCTCCTCAGAATCCATTTACATTTTAACCAGGTTTCCTCTTCCCTGTTATGCATTAACAAACCCCTGAATAGCTCTGTGCTATTCAGGGAGGCCGTGCTTTTTCTCTTAGCCAGTAGAGTTCCTATTCCTGTGGAGAGATTTTTCTGTGATTAGTTTCCCTAGGGTGTCACTAGTTATCTCTAGGGTGTATCTCACCAATTATCTTAGGGTTATTTTCAAAGTACTACAATTAACTTTAATTCCCTTTAATTTAAAAGTAAATACTGGTAGAGCTGTAATGCAGTTTTCAAAGGAGATGTTGCTAAACCAAAAGAGGAGACTGTATATCACAGCTCCTAATATTGTGGGAATCCTGGTGTAATCTGGTGTAAACCTCCTCAGACCACTTCTCACCCCATCCGGTACTTGGTGACTGCTTTTGTAGCTGTGCACAGCTATCTGGTAGAAGTTATTTCTGTTTATTCTACCAAGTTCAGCTAGTGGAGATTTGGCCTGGCTCTGGCTCTGCTAAGGTGGAGAGTAGTTCTCCCTTGTTCCCAGAAGTGGCTGTGGCGTTGTCTCCTTGAATTCAAATGTTGCTCTTGTTGGCTTTTCCTAAAACTGCCCCTCCCCACCTCTGCTACATCTGCTGGAGGCCCCTTTTACCCCTACCTGTTCTCCACCCGACCCATCCTATTTAAAGTTTTTGTTTAATGATGGAATTCATTAAAGACCTGACTCTGATGCCTCATCATGACATGGGTGTGACTCTGAGTTCATGAAGGCTGTACCAGCAAAATGTAATCTCTGGCAAGCCCTATTGATCTGGAAGGGCTTTGTGGAGAACCCTGGCAGTAAACTGCCTGTCATCTGAGTACCTGCCTAGTGAAATTCACAGTCGTTCACCAAATTAATAACTGGATGGTACTCACTCACAGCCTCCTACCACTTACTAAGATGTAGAAGGGGTATAGCTTGCATCAGTGGAGAAAGAACCCACACAGATGAAATCACTACTTTTATATACTATTACATGTGTCCTGTTGTCAGTGTTCCAAATAGTCTGTCTTCATTCTTTCTCTTCCCTTCTCCCTCACTTAGCTGCTGTCCATGCACAGGAATCAGGACAATTTTGTACTTCTCTATTTTGTAGGCTACCTAATGGGCACAGCTGAAGAGCATGTCTACCCCTAATTAGGCTAGCCCTTGGAAACACAGTCTGTCACTAGGACCACATTCAAAGTCTTTCCAGCACGGTAGAACCTTTCAGAGTTTTCGTTCTTCTGTCATACCATGCCTTGGGCTCTTTGGAGGAAAAGGGCTATAGGTGGGAAGTCTATTGATAAGTACCTAGCTGGCCCCATAGAACCCTGTGTAAGAATTTCCCCTTATTTCTGATAATTCTCTTAAGCCTATGTCTTGTCTCTGGGTGTGCAGCCTGGCCAGGTAGTCGGTATTGACATGGAATGGAGACCTCCCTTTGGATTAGTGGGAAGGCCACGAGTGTCAGTGCTGCAAATTGCCACTAAAGAACACGTGTACCTGTTGGACCTGTTGCAGTTCTCAAAACTGGATCAAGAAGAGAAGGAGAAGGAGCTTTGTCATTTCATATGGAAGCTCTTTTCAGATCCATCCATTATAAAACTAGGTAATAATAGTCCTAGGGCTTGCACTCTGTCTAGCTTTGTAATGTTGTTGTTTTCTCCCTTTATTTCCTGAAAACTCCCTATCTAATTTACTGTTAAAGTATACTCTTTACTTTTCTGTCTTCTCTATCCACCCACTCCTGATTCCTAGGCTTATACCTTTTTGGTTGGATAGAAACCATAAGAGTTCCTTTTCTTGGCTATAAAGAAAGAATAAGTAGATAAGTATAGATGTTAGCATGTATTCAAGACTAACCATTCATTTACTGAAGAAAATCTGTTTTTGCAAGGCTGTTAACTGTGGAAGTGGCTCCTTGGTGATTCACATCTGCTGAAACGATTAGAAAATTCCCTAAACCAGCAGGGCCTCCACAGTCTATCTTATAATGAGGGGGCTTGGAGAGGGGGTGGTGGGCAGAAGTGTTTCTCCTCTATTTCTGATTTCACGAGAACATCATAGTAATGAGATTTCCTGCCCAGGTTGGCCAGCCAGGAAGTGCTAGGTCAGATCTGGGCCTTTACCTCAGGCCACTTTTTAGCTCTTTGCTGTGGTACAGGAAAGCTTCAGTTACTTTGACCATTACATGGCCTTCACTAGGTCCTGGACCAGTCCTAGACCATCCTACCTTCTATGTATATAAAGGTGCTATTTACTATGATTCCCCCTCTCTCTTTTGGGACTAAGGAGCTGATAGACATTTGGAAAGAGGGGTCTGATGTTCTCGCATTTGGGTGCAGGTATGATTTTTCCATCTCTACCTGAACATGAGGCTTAGTGGGAAAGAAGACAATAGACCTCATGAAACACATACCAGTGTTTCCTGTTTATAATGTTAGAAACTTTTTTCAGGCTATGGAATGTCTGGAGATCTGTGCAGCTTATCAACTACATACCCAGCCCTCAGAGAGATGGAAAAGCAGGTACAAGGAATCCTGGACCTGCTGCAGGTAGACAAACAGGTGAGGAATGGGGTTCATTCTTCACTGGTGTACAGTGGGTCAAACGGATCGATGTTTTCTCTTGTGCTAGGGGATGTTGTCGTGTTCTGTCGTGTCATGGACTTGGAATCAGAAGACCTCAGTTCAAATCCTGCTTCAAACACTTCCTAGTTGTATGACTACGGATAAGTCACTTCTGCTCTCTGAGCATCAAATTTCTCTTCTTTAAAATGAGAAAATTATATTTATATTATCTACTTTACATAGTTATTATGGGGAAAGCATTTTGCAACCCTTAAAGCTGACATTCACTAGCTCATTAAGTTTGTAAAACTGCTTGACATGTATCATTGTATCACTGCAACCCTGAGAAGTAGCTACACAGGCATTAGGAATGTACTGCTTCCCAGCTCAAGAAGCTTTGGTCAGTCCCTATTGCTTCTAGAATTAAATACAAACTCCTCTGTGTGGCATTTGAAGCCTTTTACAGTCTGGCTACAAAGTCTCAATCCTGGCCCATCAAACGTTATCCCACCTCGTGCCCTCTGTACTCCAACCAGACTAGCACGTTGGCTGTTTTCCCTACAAAACTTTCTACCGCTTGTCTCAGGGCCTTTGTACAGCTTGTCTCCCACAGCTATGATGCAGAGTTCCCCTTTTTCGCCTCTGCTTCTTGGGACCCCCTAGATCTTCTCAAGCTTCAGCCCAAGGGCCATCTCTTTGCAGGAGACCATTCCCAGTTTTCCCAGTTCCTGCAACTGAAATTACTTTGTATTTGCTTGGTCTGTATTTTTATGTAAGCTTCTTGAGGGCAGGGACCAATGTCATTTTCATCTTTGTATCCTGAATACCTAACAGAGTGTGTGGCATAGAGAAAATGCCTAATAAATGCTATTGAATTGAATTGAGTGAGTAGAATTCAATCTCCATTTTACAGACGAGGATACTTGAGTCTTAGAGAGGCCAAGTGACTTAACCATGGTTACACAGCTATTAAGTGTCAGAAGTGGAATCGAAGACTAAATGTCATGACCCCAAGACCAGCACTATAGTGGGCTGAAACAAATGCTATATAAATGTGAATGACTATTAATATTATCATTCTATCCTCATGGGCCTCTTCCCATTTTAGACACTGACTGTTGTACTGGCCATGTGTAGACATGATTTAAAGCCGTGGGCCAGTCCACACAATGGCCTCATTTGGAGTAGGGCTTTTAAATCATAATGATCCAGTTGACTTTGGGGAATGTTTTTTGGTTTGGTTACAAGTAGAGCAGTGCTATAAGTGAGAGAGAATCCTAGAACACAGAATACTAGAGCAAGGAATACAACAACAATAATAATGATAACTCACATTTATATAACCCATTAAAGGTTACAAAGTGCTTTCCTTACAACACTGTCAGATTGGTGGTATAAGTATTATCTTAATTTTAATGATGAAGGCCATGATTTTGGGAGAAGTTAAGTGACTTGCCCATGGTCTTATACCTAATGAGTATCCAAGGCAGAATTCAAATCCAGGTCTCCTGGCTCTAAATCTAGTATTTTATCAATGATACTAGCTGAAAGGGACCATAAAATCTAGAATTATAGAGCTTAGAGTTGGAAGGAAACTTAGGTCTCTACTCTAATCACCTCATTTTATAGATGAAGCCCATAGAAGTTAAATGACCTGCCCCCAAAGTCTCACAGAAAATAAGTAGAAAAACTAGAATTTGAACTCAAGTTCTGTTATCCCAAATAGAATTGTTATTATGCAAATAATAAGGAATATTTCTAAATGTAAGCCATATCAAGAGACACACAAATTTTAGGTAACTATGGATTGACTTACATAGATAGGACTATAGTGACATATTTAAATTCACAGTGAATACACAAACATAAAAATAGTAACTTAGTGTTCACGGATAATTTTTTAAAATCTTTATACTAGATACTAAAACTTTCATTAATCAGAGTGCTTAAGGAATGGAAAATTATAATTAATTGAATTTTCTGCTCACTCAAGAGTTAACTAGGAAAACTTTTCTTAAAAATCTTTCTCAAGCAAGTGTACTTTCTTTTTTAAGTATAATATATTATAAATTAAATTTGTTCTTTATGATTTATGGTTTTATAGTAATAATAATGATATCTAACATTTTATATAGCACCTACTGTGTGCTAGGCACTGTGCTAAGTGCTTTACAGCTTATTTCCTTTGAGCCAACAACCCTGGGAGATAGGTGCTGTTATTATTCTTATTTTATAGTTGAGGAAACTGAGGCAAAGAGGGGTTAAGTTACTTAGCCAAGGTCTTATTGCTGGTAAATGTCTGAGGTAAGATTTGAACTCACATCTTCCTGACTTCAGGCCCAATACTCTATCCACAGTGCCACCTAACATGGTTATACTATAACTGCAGAAGATTGTGGATTGTGTCGGGGGATTGTGTTGAAATGTGTGCTGGCCCCAGGATGTAGCCTAGAGGTTATTTTTCCTCCCAGTAAATCCTTTATATATGAGTTTGCCTTCTCAAGACTTCTCGATTTTCTCTGAAAGTTCAGTGTGTGGTGGGAGAGTTCTGGTTAATTGAAGGTTCTAGTTAATTGAGTCATTTAATTCCATGTTTTATCTAAACTATATATCTCTACATTCACCTGGCATAATGCCCTGCCCCCAGTAGGTCTTTAACAAGTGCTTGTTCAGTTGAAATGGGTTTCAAGTAAACAACATTTTCATGTATTTGCATGTTCATGATTTGTTTGCTAAACTAGTATGTAATTTATGTGAAAATGTCAGAAATTTTTATAAGCTTCTTGGAAAGGTGCCTTTACTTTCCCCTAAAAAGAGAAAATAATGAATGAGGATGAATTTAAGACAATCCATTGAAAAACATAGTTAAAAAAAGGATTAGAATTTGTTGGGAAGGTTGCATAACAAGATAGGAACTACAGGGCTAACTCACTTAAAACCCAAAACATTAGTGTTTCATGCATGGAGCATTTTTCTCTAAAACTGCTTCTGCAGAGGGGAGAAAATTGTCTTCTAGTATATATGATTGAGAAATCTAAGGAAAGAGATACTTTGGAAAGTTCAGATTTTCTTCTAGAAGTGGAAAGGTCCATAAAACAAACTGTCAGAGCTAGAAGAGGCCTTTGAGATTTTTCTCTCATCTCTTCCTACATTGCAGAGAAAGGAACTTCTGCTTTAAAAGGGAACTGCACCCGTGGGAGAAAGGGGAAGTGTATGCTACAAACACTAAATCTGGTATCAATCCAAAGAAGAGAAATCACTTTTCTGTTAGAAATTAAAAGGAACTTTAAAAAGAACCTTGGACAGTCCTTAAGGTTTCCAATTGTATCCTTCAAGAACCATCCCCACCTCCCCCTGATCAATATAGACTTTTAATGGAGGCATTTTGTCTCCCTCTGAGTAAGTTGTATTTTCAAACTATCATAGCGTCTCTGAACTTATTATGCATTTTATTTGTTTGTTTAAACATTTCATGTCTTTCAGGCTTTCCTTTTTTTTTTTAAGCTTAAGATCTGAACAGCAATAAAATAAAAACAGGGTTTATGCTCCATTGACTGTGTTTGTGGCTGTCCCCCAGATCAAGCACTTAACCCTTATAGTAACATTTTAAAGGGTGTACTGGAAAGGTTTCATTACCCCAAAATTTCTGCCTACTGAGTCTTGAAATTCCACCAATAGAGGCTTATTATTTTGGGTTGAGCATTGCCCTTTCCAGACTTCTTTTTAAAAAGTATAAATCCTCCCACCCCACCCCCCAGAAGGAAGAAGCCATTAAACCTCAACTTCATTGTGAGCAAGAGGTGGCCTGTGGAGAGCCTTGGGCTGCTGGAGAGAGAAGGGTTCCTGAAGATTATGGGATGCAGAGGAAGCCATGAAAACAAACTTTCCATGTCTCAAACTTTACTTTTAATTAGCTTGGCCATGTCACATTCATTTCTTTAATCCATGAGTCAAAATTATAATGTAATAGGTGTCATTGCTTCCTAGATGTTATTCATTAACTGAAAATAGCAGAACATTATTTGTCTAATGTGGTAGTGTGTGACATCATGTTTTATCCTTGTATATAGTTACAGAAAAATTCTGGGTTGTGGAAGAAGCATCACACACTGGTGGAGAGCCTGTGTCCAGAGCCGAGCTCTGTAACTAAAAGTCCCAGGCAGGCAGAAAAAGGACTCAGCCTCCTGGTGCAGAATCTCCTGGGGAAACCGCTGGACAAAACAGAGCAGCTTTCAAACTGGGAGAAACGGCCCCTCCGGGAGGAGCAGATCCTCTATGCAGGTCTGATGGGCAGCAGAGCCAAAGACCCAAGCTTCTGAACCTTGTCAAGAACACATGTCAAATAGCAAAGGGTCTGGTCAGTGGGGCCTGTAAAGCCACAGTGTGATTGGTTCATCCTCATGTGGATCAGGCTACAAAACCTGAATGTGTGTTGTCTTAATGGTTTTTTTCAGTGAGTATTTATTGATCCCTACCCTTAGGAATACAAATTCTAGGGGCAGCTAGGTGGCATGGTGGACGGAGCACTGGCCAGGGAGTCAGGAGGATCTGAGTTCAAATCCAGCCTCAGATACTTACTGGCTATGTGACCCTGGGCAAGTTACTTAATCCTGATTGCCTCAAAAAAAAAGGAATACGCATTCTGGTTGGGGAGACAACTTCAGAACTGGCTTGATTAAACAGTTAAAGAGAATTAACTCCCTGATTTCTTCCCCTTCGTGCCTTTTTTCTATAATCAGCTATGTTGTAGGAGAGAGAGGAGATGGTATAGACATGGTCCCTGTCCTGAAGGAGCTCTCAGTCTAGTTGAAGATACGAGACATACACATAAAGCAATTGGAAAACAACACAAGACACTAACTAAAGTATTTTCATTTGTGGAATGCTCTCCAGTAAAATTTCTCTTTAGCTAGAAAGAAAAATACACTTCCTTCTCCATTGCTTTCACCCAGTCCTTAATAATGATAATAAATGATAATGGCAACTCACATTTATATAACACTGAAAGTTTTACAAAGCCTTTTTTTGTTTGTTTTTTTCAGAACAAATCTGTGACGTAAGCAGGGCAAGTATTATTACACCAGTTTTTCAGATGAGCACTATGAGGCTCAGAGTTTCTTGATTAGCATCATACTAAATACCAACCATGTCTTTCCTGAGTTCAAGTCCTTTATACTCTCCAATATTGTCTCTCCTCCTCAAGGCCTTCTCTGCCCTTCATTCACATTCTTGAAGCATGAATTTCTTGGAGATTTGTAACATGTGCTGTCAGTGGCCTTGCTGTCTACATTTGTAAAAGTATTTTGAACAGAAATCCAGGAGAATGAGGTGCTTCTGTCATATTGATAAAGGCTTGCCCTACCTCCTTGTCCTCTGCCTTCATCTTCCCATCTAGCATAACAGCTGAACCAGGTTCAGAATTTCTGTTAGTGAGCTCATGAGCCAGGTTTTATTCACTTATTGCCCACTTCAGGGCAGCTTAATAAGAAAGGTTCAAGTCATGAAAAGCTGGAGTAGGACTGGCTTGTGAACTGGTTTTGGTATTAACCCACATGTATCGAGGGGAACGTCACTAGGGTCAAGGGTGAGAAATGTCTTTGCTTTCCCCTCACTGACAGTGTAGTAAGGGAGGAAATGTGCTCATATAGTCCAAAGTCAGTGACTTCATTTGTAAAGACAACTCAGTCCCTCCAGTTACATACTCATCCATTTGGATAATTGATTTCTTTTAGGTGAATAATAAGAAAAACAACAGTAATACCTCCCATTTGTATAATGCTTTATGTTTTCAAAACATTGTTCTATCCATTATCTCATTAGATCTTCACAACAGCCCTGTGAGGTAGGCAGAGTGGAGATCATTATCCTCATCTTTAAAATGAGGAAACTGAGAAACAGACACACCGGGAGGTGAAGTGTAGTGATCTGCCTGGCCTAGAATCAGTGAGTCCAGGATACTGCTACTCCCAGAGCAGTGTTCCTCTTTCTTTATGAGGTACTGTATTATAGGTGTGCAAAGCTCATTAAGAAAAATTAATTAGTACCAGACTATCAGCCAATAACAAATAGACTGCAGAACATAGGCCACTGGAACTTCGTAATCCTTAAAATGTTATAAAAATGTTAGGGGACTTTTTTTCCTTATATGATGTCCCTTTCATTGTTTCTCCTCATTAACCTCAGAATCTCAGAATATGTGAAACATTCTTAAGCGGTTCTAAAGCAGCATATCTGAAGTGAGAAATGCAGATGGGTTCGATGGGAGTTGTTTGTGTATTGCCCCAAGACTAGCATCTCTGTTTCCTTCTCTGGAGGAGTTCGTGACCCACCCTCGTTTCTTTCCTCTCCACAGCTTCAGATGCATACTGCTTATTGGAAGTCTATGAGGTGCTTTGTAAAGACCCAGCCCACTTTGGCTTGACTGCCAACCTGAAGGAGAGTCTTGGAGGCAAACAGAGTACAAAGCCAAGGGCAAAGAAGACGCTCGGCAAACAAGGGACACCATCCCCTTCTAAACAGGTTGGTCGAAATCTTCCAAGATGTGTCGTGGTCCTGGGTCTGTGTTCCTGACATAGGATGCAGGGCCTGGTCCCATCCCCAGTGAATGGCCTGCTTCAGGCTTAGGCTCGCAGAGGTTAGTTCTTCCAACATTTATCTGGAAGGAATTATTTTGTCCTTTGTAGGCACGTGTTAGAACTCATTTTCTTTGTCCTGGAAAGATGAAGACTGAAAGGAGATTAAAAACAAGTGGCATTTATATAGTGCTTTAAATTAATTGTGGAAAGTATTTTATATATATCATTTCATTTGGGTCTCACAACAGTCTTATGAGATAAGTGTTAAAATCCCCATTTTACAGATAAGGAAGTTGAGGCTCAAAGTTTAAGTGACTTACCTAGGGTCACACAACAAATAAATGTTTTAGCCTTGGTCATCCTGACCAGTCCAATACTCTATCACTATGCCAGGGGTGGGGAACCTGCAGCCTCGACTTGAGGCCACATGTGGTCCTCTAGGTTCTCAGGTGCAGCCTTTTGACTAAATTCAGATGTCACAGGACAATCTCCATCCCTGCACTAGACCATATAGAGAAATCACAAAGGGCTACATGGGATTTGGAGCTGGAAAGGTAGTAGAAAATCATCTAGTTCAACTCTTCCATGACCAGAGAGGAGAAATGACTTGCCTGATGTCATATAGATAATATGTAGAATAGCTGAAATTTGAACCTTGATCTCTAGTGAAGACAGTTGGTGGCCCAGTAGATAGAGCTTTGTACCTGGAGTCAGGAAGCCCTGAGTTAAAATCCAGCCTCAGATACTTCCTAACTGTGTGACCTTCAGCAAGTCATTTAACCTCCCTTTGCCTCACTTTCCCCATCTGTAAGATGGGGATAATAATAACACTTACTTCCCAGAGTTGTTATGAAGCTCAAAGGAGATAGTATTTGTGAAAAGCACTTAGCACCGTGCCTGTATGTAGTAGGTGCTATATAAACACTTACTCCTTTCCTGTCTTCTGACTCCAAATTTAGAGAAGGAAAACACAGATTTATTTCCAAAAAGCAAGAAATGAGAACCATCACACCTTTTGGATCTTGAGGAAAGTAATTTTAGGACAGAAGAAAGGAAGTGCAACTTTTCACAGGAGAGCATAAACCTAGAGAACCCATTAGGACAAGAGATATATAGAACCTATACTGCCCCCAAGGAGACTGAGAGTATAAGTTCCTTTGAAAAATATTTTGGAAAATTCGTGACTAACAAATTAGTATAAGTTATGAAGGAAGGGCATAGCCTTAATTTTGGAGGGTGGTGTCAGGGAGCACAGCTGTACCCCTTTGTCATTGTCTCCCGTGGCAGTCCAGTTAGGGACAGAGTAGGGCCTGGAGAATTCCTGGGGCCTGACTCAGCGTTTCTGATGTGTTTGTAGTCATATCAAGCTTGGTCCCCAGGCCTGTCTGTGTTCTTCTCTGCTTCCTAAATGACCCTTGACATCCCCGCCCACATGGATAATTTGCTAGTAGCAGAACCTGAGCCTTTAAATAGAGAACAATAGCAAGAGCAGTTGTGTGAGGCTGAGCTGGGAGAAACAAGACAGTGACCTGTGAGAAAACGTCAAGTACTTTGTCTGGATTTCCCTCTTTGACCCTGTCAGACTGTACCTTGTGTTACACTATTTATGTACCTGTGTATTTCTCCCCTTGCAGATTTGTAAACTCCTCAAGGGCAGGACTTGCATTAGTTTTCATCTTAGTACTTAAAGTGGCTGGCACAGTACATTGCACTTGGTAGCTACTTAAATATTTACTGAATTTAATTGAATTCAAAAACTGTTCGGAAAACTAGAAAGCAAACTTGCAGAAATTAGGTATAGACCAGCATCTCACATTATCTACCAGTGCATACATGACTTAGATACAATAATCACACCATAAACAGATTAGAAGAGCAAAGGGAAAAATACCTTTACAGCTGTGGATAGGAGAAAACTCCATAACCAAAAAAGGGACAGAGAGAATCGTAGAAGATAAAAAATTCAGTTTTGATTACATAAAGTTGAAAAGTATTTGCACAAACAAAATCAGTACAGTTAAAATTAGGAAGGAAACAGGTTAACTGGAGAAAAAAATCTTTGTGAAAGGTTTCTCTAACAAAAGTCTCTCATTTCTAAGATACATAAGGAATTATTTCAAATTTATATGAATAAGAAAGATTCCCCCAATAGAAAAATGATCAAAGGATATGCTGTTTTCAAAGGAATAAATCAAAGCTATCAATATGAAAAAATGTTCCAAATTACTAATTAAAGAACTGCAAATTAAAACTACTCTGAGGTTCCACCTCACACCCATCAGACTGATAAAGATTACAGAAAAGGAAAATGACATTTGGAGGGGCTGAGGGAAAACACGTACTGATGGCAGGCTTGGAAAGCAGTTGGAAACTTTGCCCCCATGTTACTAAAATTTACAAACTCCTTAGACCCAGTGATACCAGTACTAGGCCTATACCCCCAAAGAGATCAGATAAAGAGGAAAAAAACCTATATGCACAGAAATATTTATAGCAGCTCTTTTGAATTGAAAAAGAACTGGAAACTAAGGAATATCCATCAATTGGGAAATGGCTGATCAAATTATGTTAAATGAATATAATTAATTGAATTGTAGGTATTGACATCAGCTGGAGACACACTTTCTGCCAGTGCTTTTCCTGAGATTTCTGCCAAAGACTTCAGCGTGGTGTGTGACACTATGCTACAGGGCCTGGCTCGCTACCTTCGTTGCCTGGGAGTGGATGTACGTGTCCTTGAGAACACTGATGACCACCGGCAAGCAGCTGAGGTCAGTTTTCTTATAATTAGTTTTGACTGGACCTAAGATTGGCTGTTCTGAAATGTATGGGTTCTCCCCTCTTATAGAATGTTTCCTTTCTCCTCCGCTTCAAGTTATGATACGACATGGTTTCCAGAGGCACACCTTGATGAAATTGGTTGTGCTCAAATTTAGCCCCTTGCATCATCCTTTCTATAGACAAAACCAACTTCTTTTTCTTTTTTCCCTCCAAAAACAACTTCTAAAAGGGATTTCTGCTACAGGAAGGAGACAGGATGACCTCTAAGGCCTCTCTCAGCTCTGAAAGTCTAGGATTGTACGTTTCCTTCCAGGAGGGATGCTCCTCCAGTTTCCACCAGATTCCACCAGTGAGTCAGTAGGCCACACGCCAAGGTGGAACCGAAGTGGTGGCAGACTGTTGATAACTGAGCTTCTGAACCACTTTTTCCCCTCAAAGTTGCCTCATTGGAGCTTTTACTCATTTTAGTCACACAGGGTACATATCTTCATGGGTTTTCCCTATTCCAGCTTTTCATGTTTGTTACTGTGCCTTACAGAGTAGCTGCTCCATAAACATTTGTTGTTCAAGCTCATTAAAAATTGGTGCCTTAGGAAGTGATGAGATGTGCGGATTAGGGTGTTTGCCAGGACTGAAGGAGCCATATTATGCATGTGTTTTGGGTATTGTCTTGTTTAGAAGGTTGGGTTTCTATTTGTGTTTTAATTATGAAACTTTGAGTCCCTAAGTAGAGGCCCTCCTGTGGGTGACTTTAGACAAGTCCCTTCCCTGCTAGGTTCAGTTTCCTTCTGTGTAAAGTGAAGGGGTCCAAGTAGGCTTCAAAGTGCCTTCCATCTCTGAATCCTATAATCTCTTCCCTCTCACTGTCCCTTCTCAGGACTGTGACTTACCCTGTACAGATAGATGGGGACACAAAACACAGCACTTTACAGTTTAGAAAGTGTTATGTTCACAGCACTGTGAGGTAGGTAGTATAAGTGTCATTCACATTTTATGTAGTTTACGTAGCTATTCCTAATACCACAGTGACATTCCAGTCAATCCAAAAGCAATTGATGAACTCTGGAATTGCCCATTAAACCTCCTTTGGGAAGCTTTACCAGGGATTGGGGCTCAAGAGACATGAAGCAACCTTCATAGGGTCACGAAGCTACTCAGTGTTGGAGCAGGAGCTCAACCCAGGTAGAACTCCCTAAAGACAATGACACAACATTACTTGTGGAAGCCATTCCAGTATTATTCAGCCACTGTCTGTGGTTTAACTGGCATGTTACTGTGGTTTTGTACATAGCCACATGCCAGAGAGAAGGACACAGGCCTGGATAACCTGAAACAGCAGATACAGCAGATGATCTAATTCGTTCTGTAACATAACATGTGGTTCCATTTTTTGAACTAGGTTTTCCTTTTTAATTGTGTTTTCCTCAGCTTACCCTTAGACTAGATTGTTTGCATTCCCTAAGAAAACAACAGCTGGCTAGGGAGGGGAGAATGTTTGGGGCATCACGAGCAGGGGAAGCCAATTTAGAATACTTTGCCATGGATATAGTCCACGTAGAAATAATTGACTGTGCCTAGAAGCGACCACCTATTATTGCATGTGAGCAGTTGGGCTCCCGGTTTTTTCCCCCCTGTGTTATTCAATCATGTTATCATCAACTCCATATGGACCATATAGGAATGAAGACTCCAGTAGCTCTAAGGTCATTGCTTCATCTCTTGAAGGAGGGAGAATTGGTTCAGGCAAAGATCCTGGAATTATTTGAAATTTGGTTCCCATTGTCTTTTTTAGCCCTCAGTTGCTAAAGCAACCATAAATATTGTTGCTCTCTGGAAAGACCTCCTTCCCCTTGTGGATCTTATCCGCCCAAGAAAGGGTTTCATTTGGAAAAGGGTATGGAAATGAGGTGATAGGTCTGGAAATGTAGGTGCAGGAAGAGTGGAGATTTTATATACAGAAGACTGATATTTGCCATTTCCCTAAGGTTTGGGTCTGGGACCTCAGATCCCTTTCCTAACACTAACTGAGCCCTCAGTCTCCCACAGCTTCACTGGGCTATGGTAGACCAGCCTCACTAAGAAAATGAGGGGAGAACCTATGCTCCTTTATCTGCTGGTCTCAGCTTTGCAAACCTACAAGATGCTTCCCTCCCTCCATAAATTCACCGTAGTCACTGCTCTGACCTAGGCTTGGGGTTGGCAACTGGCTTTTTTTTGCACCAGAAACAGCACATGCTCAATTCTCAGACATTTGATGAATGGATGGAGGTAGCTTGATTGAACTGACCATGGTCATATGAAAAGTGGGTGACTATGGGCAATGTCTCCATGTTCCCAATACCTACAATTTCAGGGCTTCCAAACCATTGGAAATAGACTTTTGGTACCCATATAAGGTCTCAAACTTTGAAGCACACTTGCCTATGTTTTCAAAGAAAATTGGTTTAGCCATTTTTGGTGATTGAGTGTCAAACAAAAATAGAAGTCAAGTGCTTATGAACATTTTTTCTTACACATGTAATTTCAGAATGGCTTAGTGATTACTGAATGCAGTAAATTCTTTTTCTTTGGGGATTCAGAAATAAACATGAAAAATAATGACAACTAACTTTTCAGTAGCCCAAGAGTTTTAACTTTATGAGAATTTATGTTGACTTTACCCATGCATTTCAAAACTGGTAAAGACTTCTGTCTTTCCTGTTAGAGGGACCAAATGGCTCAGACAGGGTGGAGAAATTGAGTGTTTAGGAGAAGCTGAAAAATTAAAGAGTAGACAAGAGCCTGAAAAATGAGGAAGAGAGAGTCTGTGAAAAGTGACTTAACTGCTGCTATAACCTAACTGATGTCCATTTCCTTGCCTAAGTTCCAGCTAAAAATGCTGGCTGGCATTGCTGACTTCTCATCATTAGCCATCTAAGAAGGCACACCTCCACACTCTGCTACAGGCCTTTGGCTGGTATAACCTTCAGCTTCTCCAATAAGAGTCACTGATTCCCAGACCCTGGACTCCTCTGATTTCTTCCCTCCCACCAAAGTAATACAACACAATACACAATATGATCTTTAGGATATCAAAGAGTGAGTGTGTATGTGTGTGTGAATGTGTGTTTGTATTTAGATTATCTCCATTCTTCTCCTACCAGGCTTAAGGTGCTTTTGACCACTTGCTGATATAGCACTGGGTAGTTGAGTTTCTGCTGGGTCTTAAGGATTGGAAATATGATTTCTTATTTTGTTCATTATAACAAAATCCTACTGCAGTGGAACGATTTGTAGTATTTGTAGTAATAGGGTTTTCGTAGTAGTAAAAAAATAAAAGTTGAGCTTCAACCCACCCCTTCAAACAAATGACAAAATCTGAATTAATAAAATTTAAGTTAAAGAAGTTTTATTGTAATTGATTTTTTATCTGAGATCTTGTTTTCTAACATGTAAAACCAGTGCCTCCCAAAAAGAGAAGCCCAGAAGAGGTAGAACCATATATCCCAAGTAGTAGTCACTTGTCCCTGATGTCTCCTGGGAGAAACTCAGAGGATTAGTTTTACTATCTAAAGAGTGGGGACAACATCTCCTGAGGAGAAGGCCCAGCACAGGACCCTTGAACACAGTAGTCACTAAGTAAAACTTGGTGAATTGGATATTGAATTGTGATCTGTACACCTTGCTGAATGTTTGACTAGCTTGGTAATGCCGTGGGGGGAAGGGGGGAATCTTTGGAATGTTGGTGCCGTTGACTTTGAGGAAGAGGAAGAGTCAGGTCAATGGAGAAGGCAGCCACTCCTTTTTCCTTTTACAAAAGTCCCTCTTCCTGAAGCATCTGTGTCCTTTATATTGCATTCTCGAAGATGTGAGAGACTTCTCGGGACTTACTACTGGTATCATTTGTCTCCAAAATAACAATTCCTCAATAATTAACCCCCAGCTCAATTGAGCTTCCATTTAAAATACCAGCCAAAGAAAGCCTTCTTTGGGAATTGGCCTAAAGAAAGTGGTTTTTTGGGGTCAGTGGGCTGCACAGAGGACTCGTCCTTATCACCTGAAAGAAATTTCCAGCAGAGACTATTGAATATAACAAAGAACAAACACTTTAGCTGCCATATAGCCTCCGTGAAAGGACAGCAGAAGCAGTCCTGGTTCTGTGAAAAAGCCTAAGTTATTATGGGAGAGGTGTGTATAAAATGACCAATTCCTAGCCTCCCAACTTGACAGTATAAAAAATGAAATCTAGAGGTGAAGATGGGAGGAGCTCTAAATTTGGACATGAGAGAGATAGAATATCATGTACCTTCCTCCCTAGCCCTGCCTCTCCCCTTCTCTGTAGCAACCTCTCCTTACTCCTCCGCACACTTGCCAAAGCTAGGGTAGCCATGTGGAAACAGCTCTCCCCAAACCTGTGATCCCTCTTAGTACTGCAGACATGGTCATTGGTTATAGACCCTAAACAGAGAGTTGGGTCAAGATGGGAGTGAAGAATAGAGTTGGACAGGCCCAAGGCTTGGAGTAGAGCATGGAAGCCAGTGTGGTCTGAGCCACAGGGTGGAAATAGAGGAGCAGTCTGGAGTGGTGTCAGAGCAAAACCATAGCTCGGAGCCATGTGGGCGAGCTGAAATCAAGATAGAGGGAGAGTCAGAGGTCAAGCAGAAAGATAACAGCCGTGAGAACAAAGATGCTGACATAGGTCAAGGCACAAATTGCCACATAAATGGACAGGATCCAGGTTTTCAGGATTTGTAGGAACAAGGAGGGGCAGCTAACAGACACTAAAACAAAGAAGAGTCTTGATAATGCAGATAGCCTTTCTGTTATATACTTAGTGTTTTTTATAGTTCTTGGGGAGGCAGAAATCAATCCCAGCATACATTCACTAGTTCACTAGGTGAGGTGGGGCAGATGTCTGGGAATACCTAGATGGAGTGACCTGTGTGCAGATGGGGTCTGAAGGAGCTTTTGACATGCAGATCCTGACAGTCCTTTTGTTCTCTTGAAAACT